TCCAAAAAAAAAAAAAAAAAAAAAAGAGAGAGAGAGAGATACCACCTAATCCCAGTCAGTATGGCGAATATATAAAAAAAAAAAAAAAGGGACCAGCAGTTAGCGTAATGGCTATGTCACTGGACTCCCATGTAGTCGACCACGGTTCACGTCCCAGACCCAGTGGCTTAAAACTCACGCCGGGCGTGTGTGCGTGCGTGCCCAAGATCCCAAGAGGAGAACGGAGGAGAAGGGATTGTGGCGTGGCCATCCCCCCGGGGGATGATTTCTCGCTTTCTGTCTCTCTGTCTCTGTCTGTCTGGCGAGCGCACGCAACCTGTAGCGCAAAAACGTCTCAAAAAAAAAAATGATAATTGCTGGAGGGGATGTAGTGAAAGGGGAACACTCCTACATTGCTGGTGGGAATATAAATTGGTCCAGTCACAGTGGAGAACAATATGGGGGTTCCTCAAAGATCTTCAAATAGAATTACCATATGATCCAGCAATTCCACTCCTGGGTATCTACCCAAGGACAGGAGAACACTTAGCAAAGCACTTGCACAACTATATTTATTGCAGCATTATTCACAATTGCTAAGACATGGAACCAAGCCAGATGTCCACAAATAGATAAATGGATGGAAAAAGTGTGGCACATATACTCCACGGAATACTATTCAGCCATTAAGAACAACAAGGCCCTGGAATTTGATAGAAAGTGGACGAATATGGAAGATTTGTTGCTGAGTGAAGCAAGTCAGGCTATGAAAGAGAGACATTGTTTGTCTCTACTTAACATGTACTGACTGTCCACGCTCTATGGTAGAGACTGAAAGACTGGAGGACATAAAAGCATTGAAAATTATTATGGACACTAGAGACAAAATGGAAGGAGAGTATGGGAGGGGGAGAGTGTAGGAAGGAAAACTTGGGGGAAAAAATAGAAAGGTGGAACATAGACATGGTTTATTATGTTGATGATGTGTATAACATCTTCAACTGGGCTGGACTGAGATGTATATTCTGCTGGGTAAAGTCTCTTTAAAATATAAATGATGTATCATGATTGAATGTATAAATAATAATAAGAATAATAATTTTTTAAAAAATACCTCTATTTTGGGACCAGCAATTAGCATAATGACTATGTTGCTGGACTCCCATGTAATTGATCACATTTCGTGTCCCAGAACTGGTGGCTTAAACTCACACTGGGCACGTGTGCATACATGCCCAAGATCCTGAGAGGAGAATAGAGGAGAAGGGATTGAGGTGTGGCCATCCCCCCTGGGGGGTGATTTCTTGCTTTCTGTCTCTCTGTCTCTCTCTCTGTCTTTCTGGTGAATGCACGTGCCCTATAGCAAAAAAAAAAAAAAGCTCTCAAAAAAATAAAATAAAAACCAAAAAAAAAATCCCTCTATTTTAAAGGGAAACAAATATAACATGATGTTCTCTGATGAGTTATTTTTCTATTGTTCGTTTTCCTTGCTCCCACCTTACAAAAATGTTCTACTGCTGCCCTGTGGGGTGAGAGCTTTTATTCTATTTTGTAAAGTGGGGCAGTCCTGATTCATGAATCAGAAGTAAAAACCAATTAGATTTAGAACTACATTTGGTTTTGTGTGTTTTGTTTTGTGTGTTTTTTAAATTATTTTTATTGTTATTTTTATTTTATATTACATTTAATCACATATATCTTTACAGTGTATAACATTTCTTTTCCAGCATGATTACCATGCATATCAGTCAAGACAAAGACATTACTATCCACATCATCATCATCAAATAGCTTTTCATTTTTTTTCTGATTATTATTTTTTATTCTCATTATTTTTTTAAACATTCAATCACTATACATCATTTGGCTTGTAAAGAGAATTTACTCAACATGAAATACTTCTCAGACCAGTCCAGTTGAGAATACTATATCCATCAACAGGTAATAAACCATTTCTGTGTCCCACTAATGTCATGCCTCTCTATTTGTTCTCTTGCTATCCTTCTCTATACTCTTGTCTCCCCCACCCCATTCCACACTGTCTTCAGCATTCATAACTATTTCCACTGCTTTTATGGCCTCCAATATTTCAATCTCTACCAGTGCAGATAGTTGGTATAGATTAAGTGGATACATACATCTTTCTTTCATAGCCTGGCTTGCTTCACTCAGCAATAAATCTTCCACATTTGACCACTTTCTATCAAATGGCAGGGTCTTGTTGCTTTTTATGGCTGAATAGTATTCCATAGAGTGTACGTGTCACACTTTTTCAATCCATTCATGTGTTTGCAGACATTTGGGTTGGCTCCATGTCTTAGCAATTGTGAATAATGTCGCAATAAACATTGATGTGCACACACTTTTCTGACTGGATGTTCTCCTGTCTGTTGAGGATATACCCAGAAGTGGTATTACTGTATCAAATGGTAGTTCAATTTGTAGATCTTTGAGGAACCTTCTTATTGTTTCCCACAGTGACTGAACCAGTTTACATTCCCACCAACAGTGTAGGAGAGTTCCCTTTTCACCACATCCCTGCCAACACTTATCACTTTTTGTACTTTTCATCTTTGCCATTCTGACAGGGGTTAGGTGGTATCTTATAGTGGTTTTAATCTGCATCTCCCTTATGATGAGGGATGTGGAGTATTTCCTCATATGCTTTTTGGCTTAGAACTACATTTGTCGTAATTTTATCTTTTGACAATCTAGAATGCAAGTGTCCAGACACCTTCTATCCTTTCACAACCTTGCTAAGATTCTTCAAACCCCAAGGCTGCAGCTTAAAAATTCAGTTCCCAGAGCAGCAAGGAAATCACTGCTTTGCTTTTCTTTTTAAATTTAGTTCACATATTTTTTAATAAAGCAAATATTATGGAACTTTTTTTCTCAACAGAGAACTTTACATTCTTTTGTCCATTCAATGTTTCTTCACTTAGCCTCTCCCACCCACCCTCTACCATCCATACCTCTCCCTTTCGCTTGTAGTTTCTTGTGTCTACATGTATCCTTTCTACTATAATATCTTCTAATCTTTCCATTTCTGCCATAAAGTGCAGACATTCAGTACATATTAAGTGGGGATATACAGTTTTGTCTCCTTCAAAGTTTAGCTCACTTCACTCAACATTGAAAATGTTAATCTTTCTGAAAGCCAAGAGACTGTTCCCTTAGCTTTCCAATGAAACTTCAGACCTTTTCAAATGGAAGACCCTAGATCATTTCCACCTCTTTCCTCTATTTTTGGCATCTTTGCCAACATCCACCCATTTTGACACTCACAAACTATGTTCTTGATTATGTTTCTCCTCCTTATTGGCACTTTTTCCTCTTATATTTGGTTGTACGTGGCTGAAAGGTGGATTTTTTGGCTTTGTCTAAGGGTAATGGGCAGAGAAGGATGATTTTTAATTTACTAGAAGGCATGCGTGCTCAACAGAGAGAAAGAGAGAGTGAAGGTGAGAAAGCACCTGCCCCATGGGGGATGGCCACACCACAATCCCTTCTCCTCCCTTTCTCTTTTCAGGATTTTGGGCATGCACACACACACATGTCAAGTATGTTTTTCTTTCAAACTATGTCCATGACCCAAACCTCACAGTCCACTATATGGAATCCAGCCACCTTAACCAACACACCACCAGCTGACCCAACTATACTTTAGAAAATGAATTTCAAGTCCAGCCAGTGGTGAACATAAGCATAGTAACACAGCGCTTTGGTGAACTGAAATGAGGAGTCCTGAGTTCACATCCCAAAGCTTCCTTATATGTGCCGGGTATGTACACATGTGCCTGTGATAAACTGACTAAGGCTGGGGCACGAGAACCTATTAGGGGGTTCTCTCTGTCTCTTTTGTTTCTTCTCTGTATGTCTTTCTTGCTTATGGAAGAAATAAACTTAAAAAAAACGGATTTCATAATGTACTTAAAGAAAAATATACTTGTCACCAGTTCAAAATTTAAATACTTGCTTGTTTTTACTTTTGAATACTCAATAGGTATAAGGAAAGCCAAAAGCCATTAGAATACAATCTAAACTCCTCCGTTTTCCCTTTCAGACATAGTGTAAAGTGTCCTTATACCTAAAACTCATTTTAACACTAGTTGATTTATCATCACCACCAAACACCATAACATAATGATATACAACAAATTTAAATATTCTCAGTAGGAGATATTTAGACAATAGTTTTGGCTTTGTTTTGATTTTTCCCAGTTCTGTAATAGCATAAAATAACCAAATTATACCTGAATTCAGGCCTATTAAATGACCCAGTCTCTTCACATGAGAACTAAGTGGCACTAACCATTGCCCAAATATAATTTCTGTGATAAATATTATAATGATTATCCTAAAAATATAGGTGGAGATGTCTTTTATTCAGAAGTACCTATAACCTTTTAAGCCAAAATCCTTAACAACATCATACCTACAAATGGCCCCATGCCCAGGTATAATGTCACACTTTCCATCATTCAAGCAGAAGTCAGGCTGTAGATCACAGAGACTCTGACAGGGCAGTTCTTCCACACTGAGATACCCAGGGTAGCATCTGCACTTTGCTTCTCCACTCCATGGGTTAACCAGACACTCAGAAAATTCATTGCAGGCCTGAAACTTGCAAGGGTTAGCTTCTTCACCTAAAATGTCAAACAAAACAAAGAGTGATGTAAGGAAAGGCAAAGCATAAAATTTGGGGTACATGAAAGCCCCTCATGAGACAGCCCTGTAATTTATCATTCAAGTATACCATTACCACCAATACCAAAACAAATTTCTGGTTGATCTTAGATGGATGGACTTTTGTCAAATGTCTCTGAAACTCACAGCCAAATTATAAAATCCTATGACCAGGGTATGCATCTGCATGTTTTATCTTGAGTATGTAGAAGCTTTAAAATCCATGTTACATAATTCTAGATTTAAGTTAAACTCAGTTTTCATAGGTCACTCATTTCCACCAATTATGTCCTTCTGTAGTCCCCTCCACTCGGAACTCAGATATCTGCCTTGCCCCACACTGACACAATGGGATGGAGAGTCAAAGCCTAGAGAAGAACTGCTAGGAACCTGAGAGGTAGGCATAGCCCAACAAAGAACAGCCTAGGAAAGGCCAAGGTTTGTTGACACCAATGTTAGAAAAATATATTATCCCTGTAACTCTTTAGGCCATTCCTAGCAATATTTTGGCTTCAGTAACTTTATCTTTCCATGGAAGGGTGAGTAAAAATTACCAAAAAATTATTTAGGAGAATGGTCAATCAAAAATGATAGAAGACAATGAATGGGACTTCTAGTCTACCATTGTTCCCATGTTTTCCACTCATGAATGGCAATCTGTGAGTGGCAAATGGCTAAATGGTAACATAGATACTAAAACAGGGGAAATGTGTGGTAATGATCATAAACTCATCTGTGTGAACAAGTATAAAGTTTAGCTAGCAAGCTAATGAGAACTAAAAAAAAAACTAAGATTCTAGTCACAAGTCTATGATCCTCCAGCTCACTAGGATCTGGTGACAGACAAGTGCCCAGCATGTTTTTCAGGCTAATCAGATTTGGGACTTGAACTGTGGTCAACATGTGACTTTTAGTTCCAGTTCTCTTGGTTTCCAGAAATTAAAACTACTTTGAAGAGCAATGGTTTTCCTGCTGCTCTAAAGATTAGATACAATTTTGTACAAATATGTGCCTTTGGAATTTGGAGGAGCTTTAAAGCCAATTTCCCTTAGTTCTCTGTGGTAACAAGAGGATGTACTGGGATGAAAGATGGTCCCCAAAAGTTCATGTCTACCTAGAACATCAGAATGTGACCTTATGTGGAAATTGTCTTTGTAGATGTAATCAAATTAAGAAGAGGTCATAGTGTATTAGAATGTACCCTAATCCAATGATTGGAGCCCTTTTAAGCAGAGGGAAATTTGGATACAGAGACATAGACACATAGGAGGAAAGATATATAGACTGAGGCAAAGATTGGAATGATGCATCTGTAAGCCAAGGAATGTCATGGATTAACAGTAAACACCAGAATCTAGGGAAAGGCAAGGAAGGATTTTTCCCTAGAGCTTTCGGAAGGAGAGTAACCCTGTTTGTACTTTGATTTTGGACTTTCTGTCTCAAGAACTGTGGGAGAAAATGTCTCCATGGTGATAAGCCTCCCAGTTTGTGATAATTTATTACTTAGGAAACTAAGGGGACCACTGCTGAGAACATATAGTCATGCTGTTAGATGAGCAGTTTCTACAAGAGGACCACACCACAGTACTTCCTACCCCTTACATCCTGATCCTAGCAGTGTGACCTTGTAATCAGATCATAACCTAACCTCAAACTAGCAGTGAGGAATAGGAGGGTTTACAGTGGGTAGGAAAGATGCTATTCTGCACGGCTTTTGTTGTTGTTGATAAAACTGTAAGAGTTGCTGAGATACCACACATGAAAACAATTTAGGCAAGAGACAAATTAATTTTGTTTCTAGCCAGTCTTGAGAGAAAATGGCATTGAATCTGAGAGCCCTTAACTAAAAATATGTAGTAGAAAAATTCTTCTTAATTTTTTTTTAATCTGTGGACATTCTATGGGTGTGGGTGTCCACAGGGAGGAAAATAGAATGCCTATTTTCTTTATTCTTTTCTTTCTTTTTTGTTTGCTTGTTTTGTTAGTTGAATTTTTTTGTCATAGAGCATGTGTGCTTGCTCACCAGAAGGAAACAGAGAGAAAGAAAAAGTGAGAACTCAGGACTAGCAGTGTAATGACTACATCACTGGACTCCCATGTAGTCGACTGTAGTTCAAGTCCCGGATCCAGTAGCTTAAACTCACGCTAGGCATGTGTGCATACGTGCTCAGGATCCCGACTCAGTAATGCCGTGATCTCCTTCCTCCACTTCTCTATCTCACCAGGATCCTGGTCACAGACATATGCCCAGTGTTCTTTTCAAGCCATTCAGGCCTGGTACTTGAACTGTGGTCAGCATGTGGCTTCCAGTTCCACAGTGTGATATGCTACCAACTGCACGACAGAGGCTGGTGATTGGCAAAAGTTTTATAAATCATAACTGTTTGCATTTTTGTAGCTAGTCAAATGTTTTATATCTGTTATTTTTTAAACATCCTTAGACTAGCCCTATGAAATACAAGGGTCAGGCAGGACTATCCCCATTTAATATATGATATGTTTCATCAGAGATGACGCAGCTCATCTAGAGCCATACAAATGATAAACTGCAAAGCAGCAGCCAGAAACAGGCCTTCTAGATCAACACATGGCAAATAAAAGGCAAACAGCCTTAGAGAACTCAAGTGCCAGGAGACTTAGGTATTGGAAGATTAGTTAAATCATTTTCCTCACTTTCAATGAATACTGGTACTTTAAGGATTTCAAAGGAAAGAATGTTTGCTTCTTTCCCAGTTAAAGAATAAGGCTGACTACTTTCTAACCAACATGAGAGTAAAAGGCACTGGAGAAATATGGACCCAAACAGTCTACCTTACTCTTACTCAAAACCACTGCCTCTGGGACACGGAAGGAAAAGAAGAACAAAATTTCAGACACTAACAGTATTTTTTGCCTCCAAGCCTTCCAAATAAAAACAATGATGCATTATATTCATTCACAATATTTTTAATGACTTCCGTGTTCAAAGAACTGTGCTAAATTCTGGCTAGAAAGTGGTTAATAAAACAGATAAAACTCTCAGTCCTTGTAGAAAGCTCAACTGGGAAAAATAGCCTTTAAGCAACTATGTACATAACTTTACTACAATAATGATAAACTTTAAAGGGAAAAAGAGCATGATGTTATAACAAAGACTAATAGGGAACCAGCAGTTAGCGTAATGGCTATGTTGCTGGACTCCCACGTAGTAGACCACGGTTTGCGTCCCGGACCCGGTGGCTTAAAACTCACGCCGGGCGCGTGTGCGTGTGTGCCCAAGATCCCGAGAGGAGAATGGAGGAGAAGGGATTGTGGCGTGACCATCCCCCCTGGGGGGTGATTTCTCGCTTTCTGTCTCTATGGCTCTCTCTGTCTGTCTGGCAAGCGCACATGCCCTATAGCGAAAATCTCTCCAAAAAAAAAGGAAGAAAGACTAATAGAAAAGATCCAATCTAGACGATGGGTTAGTTCAGAAAGTCATGAGGCATAGGGTGTGCAAGAGTCAGCCAAGAGGGGTACG